AAACGACTAGACACATCACATTAGTTACTGAGTGCCCAATCAAAGTATGGAAAGATAGTAGTTTAATTTTGAAAAATAATGAAGACTACACAATATATTTGTTGCACAACCGTGAAAAATTTTGGTTCAGGCAATCAATAGTCTGTAAGTAACGATTTTTATCAGATTGAATTGGCAGAAGTTAGAATTCATGGGCCATTGGATCGTCCAGTGGCACAGTGGTTAAGACTCTCGTCGACCATGTACATGGTCCGGGGTTCGATCCCCTGCCGACGCACACCCGATATCTATGGTGGCCTGCAAAATTTGGGCTACCGATATCACATGCTGAAAATGCCATACTTGTACTGAAAATACGGTGTGGCATCAAGCTGTAATCAAATATAAATATAATATAAATATTAGTGGTATACGAGCTCGCCTTGTAACCAGAAGACCCTGGGTTCGAATCCCGGTGGGTGCGTACTGATGAAGAGTCCCAAACTAGGACGAAACAGCTGTCCAGTACTCCCAGGATTTCCAATGGTTCTCTAACTAATGTCAGCTCATGATGAAAATCCTGAAAACTTAAAGCCAAACAATTTTCACCAGCTAGCTTGGTAGATTAAAATCATCTATGATATTATCGCCTAGTGATTAGTCTTGTTTATCGAACAATAAATACTTATTCTTCATAGTCCTCACCATGTAAATGAACTCAAAGTGAGGGGAAAGGAATTAAAGTACATATGGTTGAGAAATGGTAACCTTTCGATATCTACTTTCAATGGCTATCTATCTAGGCGGAGGGAAGCTTACATTGACTGACTGGTTTCAACATAGAACTTTGCAAAGATGTGCAGCAGTTCCAGTCGCCACACTCCCTCCATTTAGCACATAAAGCAAGAGAAGAAAGTAAAGAGAAATGCAAAACAGAGACAGTAAACAGAGATATGAGGCAAAAAGAATAGTAATATCGAAGAACAATATAGTTTTATTGGATATTATAAATCACAAGGAGTGGATGCATCTGCAACAGTCATTGAGAAGGATTTTGAACCATATCACCGACTGTCTCCAGTCACCATTGATTCTTACCATCCCGAGGACCACCACATTCAACTCTCCAGTATTAAACTAATTGTTTGGATTCATTGACTGATGAGCCTTTGTGTTTTTTTATTATTATTATTTACTTCGGCTATCTCCTACGGGAGGATGAGCCGGCTTCATGAACATCTCGAATCATCGCTGCCCAGGAGCGGCGATCTGACGCAACGTTTTGCGACAGGGTTATCCAATTAAGAGAGTTCATGAAGTTTCATGGGAATTTGGTACGAGTGATGTCCCCAGAATCGCTCGGCCTTTCGTTTGAGAGTGCAGCTCTAGCCTTTACACAACCAAGTGTGACCTACAAGGCAGTAGGAGTGGAGTAGGGAGTCCACTATCCATTGGCAGCCGGTGACCGGAGTTCGGTTCATACGCCTTTTTGAATGGGGCCAGACATCCAGGACATCCAACAAGCCCTTTGTCCATACGTCTGCCGGTGAGCTCCAGTGAGCTTCATACGCCAGTCGTTGGAGGTTTGGAATCAGGGTTTAGCCATCTCCCCTAGACTGTCATCCAATGGACAGTCAACCCGGTGAAGAGCGCCGGGCATCCGCTTTTGCCCTCTCACTTTGGTGAAAAACACCTCCGCCACGTGAAGGCAGTGAGTAGGACTTCCTCAGGAGAGGCTATGTAAGACGCCTGGTCATATGGGAGCATTTCGAGAGGTGTGCGGAAGGGTGGCCAACCCACAGCGCAAGGCACCCACCCCCGACCATCCTGAGGCTTTGGAGGACCGTCTGTCAAGGAAGGTGGTCGACTGCTCCGTGTTATGCGTAACACATGTCCTAACCACCTCTTTCAATAGATGCAGTAGCTACACAACCATCTCGTCGACTGATTTCCCCTCCCACCCACCTAGCACCTGACCATCGATGCCATGTCTAACTTCAACATTGCTCACCCTATTTTACCACCACCTAACGCAGACATCTATGATCAAAGATAGCTAGCCTTTTCATGTCTTCCACTCTCAATGGTCATGTCTCACTCACGGCCATAAAGAAGGACGCAACGAAGTGCTGCTGAGCAGTACACACATCCTTTGGTCGATAGCCGGATATCGTGTCTACGCCAGAGACGGCGTAAACTGGCATATGCGAACCGAGCCTTCTGTATTCGAGCTGAGATTTCGTCAGTGATCAACCCGTTAAGGCCGAGGAAACTTCCCAAACAAGTGAAGTGGTCAGTACGCTCCACCAACCAATTCACCATCTCCCCCTATCTTTAAGCTAGGAGTCAGTGTAATCCAGTGCAGTCCTGTAGCATCGTCTAACATTTGACAGCAGGAGGGAATCGCATGTCAAACATAGGCAGATTGCAGCTCAAGGTGTTCAGAAGGCTCTGCTCTATATTGTCAGTATCTTCACCCAGGAAGGAAGACTATATCATCTGCATATTCTAAGTCAACGAGATTATTCCGTGGTAACAAGTCAATCCCTAAGTCCCTGAAGTGAGTTAGGGTTAATTTCATTAGTACATCTAACATGAAGCTTATACACCGGAAACCAAGTTGGAAAATGTTAAGTTACTGTTCTATAACTTCTATGAATGACTTGATCAACACCCTGGTAAAATGTGTACTTTCGGAGATGTTAGTCAGATTGTTTTCTTGGCTACAATTGAGTTGCTTCCCATAAAAACCGCCTATAGATTGAATAATGAAGCCTTTCATTTATTCCATATCCTTTATTTTCGCTGGAAGGTAGGGCTGTCCGATAGACTTGTGGAATAATTCTGTATAATGATTCCGAAAAAATGAAAGATGACATTTCAGTCAGTGGAACTGGTTAAGTTGTAGTGCAATATTTGTCTTGTGGATACACTACAATCACTGTACGTCGGTGGCACAGCGGTTAGGACTCTCGCCGACCATGCACATGGTCCGGAGTTCTATCCTCTGCCGACGCACACCTGATATCTATGGTCGGCCTGCAAAATTTGGGCTACCAATATCACATGCTGAAAATTCCATACCTGTACCAAAAGTACGGTGTGGAATCAAGCTGTAATCGAAAATCAATATATATATATATATATATATATATATATATATATATTAGTGAATTCAATGCCTTCTTTTCTTCTGTGTTTAAGTGACACTGATTTGCCATGATTCTGATCAGTAATAGTATAATTAGCTGTCATTTCTTTTGTTGTCTTCAGTTGTCAATTGTGTATAATTTTGTGAACACTCTCCACTAAGGTCATACAGATATTTAGCTTATTTGCATTCTCTATAGGGTTGACACTTTTGTATTAGTGATAAGTTTGTTTCTAAATTGATTCGCTAAGCTATGATGACTTTATTAATATGCGTCTGATATTTTATTTTCACTATTCTTCGCCTACTTTGCCGCCTATTAGTGACTCACTCGTATATTCACCTGGTGAATTTGAAAGAGAACTAGGGTGCGATGGATTTCCCTGACCACTGACTGACTGGTTTTAACTTAGAACTTTGTATAGATGTGCACGAGTTCCACTTGCCACACTCCATCCTTGTACCACAGAAAACAAAAAAGAGTGAAGAGGGATAATAAACAGAAGTGTGAGTGAGGGGAAAAGAATGGTAATATAGGAAAACAATAGAATTTGATTGGATACGAAATGTAAATCACAAAGAGTGAATGCATCTGCGCCAGCCATTGACAACGACGATTTTGAGCCGTATCATGGATTGTCTCCAGCAGTCATTGGCTTTTACCATCCTGAGGATCCCAACCATCCAATCACGCAGTCTACACCTCCCTACGTGACTGGCTGGTTGGCTGGCTTAAACTAATTGTTATACATTTCAGTGACCGACGAAGCCACGATCTTGTTTAACCACCACTAGCTAATTCATTTCCAACCTGTTCCATCCTATGTCAGTCAGCTAACACTGCCCATCGGTTGAGGAAGGCAATCGATTGCACGGTGGTGTGCGTCACACATTTCCTAACCATCTTTTGAATTTTTGATCATAGCTTGATTCCACGCCATACTTTTGGTACAAGTATGGAATTTTCAGCATGTGATATCGGTAGCCCAAATTTTGCAGGCCGACCAATTGATATCAGGTGTGCGTCGGTAGGGGACCGAACCCCGGACCATTTGCATGGTCGGCGAGAGTCCTAACCTCTGTGCCACTGACGCACAGTCGATGCAGTAACTTCACAACCAGCTCGTCGATTGATTTCACCTCCTCACCTACACCTAACTAGCACTCGACCACCGATGCCATACCTAACCTCAATATTCCTCAACCTATTATACCACCATCACCTGACACACACGGGAGATAGAACGCAAGCACTTATGATTTTAAATTTGAGGTTCAGTATCAACATCTTTTTGGGGGGGCGACTGTGACCTTTTCAGGTGTTTTCTTTGGTTTTAGATTCTTGTCTGTGAATCTGGGTGAAGGTAAACCATTTTCTATCAAGGTGCCTCGGAGATTACGTAATTCTCCATCAATTGACTCCTCAGTGCAAATTTTCCCGATAATCGATGAAATATTAGGTTTCTCTTTCTGCTTACAGGCACACAACTTTAAAAGTTGATAAACTGTCCATTTTTCTTGTGAGCTTCTTGTAGATAAATCTTCTCAGAGAGTTGTCAGCATTTCTTATCAGTTGAACATCGAAGAAATGAAACATTGATTAATTTAACCTTTGACCAGAAATAATTCTGGAACTTTCTAGTCCATTCACTACTATAAATACACGAATGTACAGCTGTCTAGTTGATGACTTCGTTGAAAAGAAAATTCTCTTCTTCTTCTTCGCTATAACAACTGACTTTTATCATTGTAGAAAACGATAACATACTGAACATAAAAAAAAATCTATATGGTTCAAGGGTGACTCATATATATTCGATCTTAAAATAAAAACAGTGGGGAAAAAAATTACAACGCATACACTACTCACTTTGGTCTAAGACAAGCTGTCTTCTCGTAAATATTTTTCAATGCCTCCGGTGTATTAGCATAAAATGGAGCTTTACCAGTTAAACACTGGTAAACAATAATACCCATACTCCATATATCTGCAACTGCATCATATTTACGACACATCAAGACTTCAGGAGCCTGTTTACATCAAAAGGAGAGAAAAATAGAAAGTTTAGAAAAAATGCTTACAGTAGTTTTATATAAATAAGTAGACATAAGATAAATTAATGTTTGAGTGAAACAACTAGGTGATTAATTAATGACACATTGGACAGCTGGTTAGGTGGATGCAGGTAAACTATCTCCGGAAGATATCAGGATAAAACTTGTGCACTGTGATGGTAGAGCATAATTCCATTATGGGTAAAATTTATTTTGATAAAGTCAGTCACACAGTGTTTGTTATACAGTAAATAATATTTACTAATGATGACCACGTTTCGAGTACAATTTATCACTGCTCATAATCTCCTATGAAGGCGCTATTCATACAACTTTCTGACTTCGTTTATATAATTATATTATTTTTCATAGCTTGACTTGATGATCGGTACTAGTATTCTCCATACTAGCGTTTGTAAAAAACCAACGCACTCAGCTAATAGATATTTAGACCTTAATTCATCTTATCCGTTATGTCTGTGAAGGCAGGCTTAGTTAAGTTTCTGTCTAACGAACCGAGCAATAGCACTAAGTAGTACAACAAAACACCTAAATGTTGAAATGAAACAGATAGAAGAAGAAACGTCGGTGTTAAATAACTAACTATGCTATAAAATGCATTGAGATCAGAAAAGGTCAAAAGCAAAATAAAAATATGAATGGTGAAACTGATAATGATAACATAACTAAGAGAGAATATAGGGCATCTACAATACTTTTGCCATATAAGCAGGGGACATCTGAGACCATACGTAGGATTCTTAATAACGCAGGGATTAGGGTGATGGCATTTAAAACCTACAAACTCATTCAATCAGGAACAAGCTCTGTAGACTAAAGGACCCGGTTGACCCATTTAGACAAAATAATATTTTTTTTATTCCTTCACGTTCCCAGTGGAACATAGGGCTTCAAGCTGAGAACTTGAAGTTTCTGTTGCAGGGTTTACTTTTACAGGATGGGGTTGCTAGACTCATGTCCAACCTTTCCTCGTTACCAGCTTTTTACTTCTGGCTTGGTGAGGTAAAGGAGTGCGTCGGCCGGGGATCGAACCCCGGACCATGTGCATGGTCGGCGAGCGTCCTAACCGCTGTGCCACCTATGCACACAAAATAATATAATTTACAAAATATTTTGAAATGACTGTCAGTGAAGTCAACTCCATAGGTCAAACCAGTAGACCGAGAGTAGTGAGATTGGCGGAACATAAGAATATAGTAACTTTTAGAATGATTGATCCCACAGAGATGAGTGATTGAGAAAAAAGCTCAGCAATTGCACTGCATGCGTGCATGGATTAACACACAATCACACAATATGGGAGTAGGAGAGGAACAAAATTCTAGAAAGTAATATAGGTAGGTGGAGATAGAGAGAAGTTGATTACTGAATCTGTGATCATAGAATCTATACCCAACACGTGCAATAAGATGCAATGATTCATCACTCACACCAAATATCTGGAAAACATCAGTACCAATCATATTAGGAGATAAAAAATAGTGGAATCATATAAGTGAATTTGGAAAGTTGTATGAGTAGTGCCTTGATATGATAATGAGTGGCAATAAATTGTACTCTACACGTGGTCATCAGTAAATATTACTGTATAACACTGTGAGAATTTATCAAAATATATTTTACCCATAATGGAATTATCTCTGAAAGACTATATTTTCAAGAGTTGATTTGTCTTTCGAGTTTGACCAGGGAGTGATATCAGTTTGAGAACCATTGAAAACCAGCACTGGAGTACTGGACAGCCAGTTGTTTCGTCAGCCTAGTTTGGGAAACATCGGCAGTACGCACCCACCGGCAGGGTTCGAACCCAGCTCCTTCTGATTACAAGACTAACGAGTTCGTAGAACATTCAATCACTGGGAACCGACTCTTTAATGACCCATGAATTCTAACTTCTGCAAATCAGTGATTTTTAGCGCGACTGGCACCAACCAATTTCATCGGAGAGCATTTGTCGACGAGCTTGCCTTGTAACCGGTAGGTCTTGGGTTCGAACCTCTGTGGTGCGTGCTACATATGTAACTTTTTCATTCAAATAACCCAGAATCTAAACACCTATTATTTTTTTGGTTACAGCTTGATTCCACACCGTATTTTTTTGGTACAGGTATCGAATTTTCAGTGTGTGATATCGGTTGTCCAGGCCAACCATAGATATCAAGTGTGCGTCGGCAGGGGATCGAACCCCGGAGAGAGTCGGCGGGAGTCCTAAACGCTGTGCCACTGACGCACATATAAAGGGAGGACCGTGAGGCCTCCCCACTGACAAAAACTACACGCCCGAGTGCACCTAATTAGGGTCCGTCGCAAGTTTCAACCCACCGAGGTGCAATGGTGAGCCTCCCTGAACCCGGCGCTTTTTCACGAAAACTAGTGAATACATAAGAGTGAGCCTGAAAATAAACTATTTACTGTTCAGTAGCAAGGTTGAAAAATTCTACCCGTGGAAATATCAAACCCTGGAGAGATTGAAAACATTGATTAAGTAGTTTTCGTTCCTTTATAACTACTATTGTAACGACAGAACACAAGGGCCAAGCAACAGATCAATTATTGAGAAAATTAAGAGGTATTCATAGATTTTTATGTACACTATTATTGTTAGCAGAGAAGCAACCTCGTCTGATTGGCTATTTTCTTGCTCAAGGTTATTCTGTCATCTCTTTGTGTCCATTTCTTCGAAGGTCAGACCATATATCTGCGATTCATATCCGCCCACGTTAAGACTGCTGTGATTGGTTGGTGAGTTCATCAAGGTTAGGCTTTGTTATTGTTTTTTCATGACCTTGATTAGGAACGTAAACATTGACGTAAATGGATGTCTACAATTTTGGCTTGTTCGCAGACAGCTCTCACCGACAACATCCTGGTTACAAGGCTAGATAGCTCGTAGACCATTAAGCCACTGGGAACCAATCCAATGGTCAGTCCATGAATTCCAGCTTCTGCTAATTCATGACATAGCGCGACCACTTAGCAATGTTGTCTTTGATGAGTTACTGCCTCACCTTCAACCTGCTGTTCCCTATTATAAACCGAAATAATACTGATATGTTTCCATGGACGAATGGTGATTCATATATGTAAAGATACAGAAATATGATGAATAATAAAACATTCGAAAAAGTCAACTGTTGAAAGGAATTCAAAACTTCCCAAAGCTCTAATGAAACAAAATAGTCATTACATATTAATCTGTTTACTGGATACACAACACACACAGAGAGTGAGACAGTATTACGTGTCTGGACTACATGTCAAAAATAGTTTTTTCTTTTGAAAAATATTAATACTCATATACAAAACAGGATCATTTGAAAATAGGAAATCAATGGATAAAGCTATGAGTAAAGTTAGGAAATACATAGCGGGACTTATAAATCGAACTATATAACTGTGCTTCTACGTGAGTCTAGAAATATTTAGTTGAGTTTATTGCCCCAAAACTAATAACGCCAGTAGGATGATTTATGGTGCTGTCTAAGCTGCCTGCTATCTCCAATGATCTTCCTGATTGCAGTAAACTGGATAATGAGACAGAGAGCGAGCAGCCAGGAAACAGGCATAAAATGGACCCACACAAAAAAAAATTGCAGGATCTGAACTTCGCCGGTGATGATATATGTCTGGTTTCCAACAAACTGGAAGATATGCAAGTGAAAAGCAAAAATTTGGTGATAAAAGAAGCATCAACAATAGGAAGGACTTCAGGTGGACACAGAGAAGACAGAGGTAGGTGATGAAGATTCCTGGCCAACAGCAACAGCAATAACAACAGACAACAATCATTATAAATAGGGAAAATCTGAAAGAAGCAACCACTTTTACCCACCTACCTGGGAAGCATCGTTCCAACTACAGGCGGAATTGACAAGGATATCAAAGCGAGGATCGGGAAAGCAAGGTAAGCTTTCATTACTCTCAAGTCTGTATGGAGATCAACAGCACTACTCAGCATGAAAAATAAGATCCGGATTTTCAACTTCAATGTGAAGTCAGTGCCACTTACTATACGGAACAGAGACTTGGCACCACGTCATCACACAAAAAAAGAACCACTGCTAATTTACGTAGGATTCTTAAGAAGGCAGGAATAAAAGTGTCACTCAGAAACGCATTATGTCGATCAAGGAGTTCTGTAGAACCTATTATCAAATCAAATAATCTTGTTTGTCTAGTACTTTACAATCAATGTGGGGTTAAATACATAGATCAGAATAGTAAGTTAGGATCAATTAGATTAGCGGAACACAAATATCTAGAGAAATACAGACTAAGTGACTTACTGGTCTAGACGCTCGGATCCCAACGAGTGACAGGTACGAGCGCCCCTAAACCTACTGAAGTTTGTACAGCCAGGTTGTATAATTAGCTGACTGCCAGCTGTATGGAGTTACAAGTGATTCTAAGGCCTCATGTAAGAGGACGAAGAGAGAGATGTTGTTAAATGAATCCCTATCTAAGGAATCAAGTGAGAATACATGCAATTGGGAATGATTTTACACCTGCCCAGGATATCTGGAAAACTCTATCACCTTTACGACTAATAAGAAAGAAAATTAACCATAGAAATCGAGTACGGAAGTTGTGTGTAATTTACAACTAACTGGTATGATTATGAACGACAAACAAGTGTTCGAAAAATCACTCAGCACATGTTGTTTCACATTGTGTGTGTGTGTTATATATTCAGTAAACAAATAAATATGAATGCCTCATCTCTCCCCTTCAACAAAAACACATATATTTTTTTCACTCTGCAACAATATCCAAACTCACCATGTACATTGGTGATCCACACATTGTCACTGCCATCATTCCATCTTGTAGGAACCTTGCAAATCCGAAATCAGCTGAAATTTATTATTTTTTTTAAAAAAAAGAAAGGGAAACTGTGACTAAAATGTGATAACAACTCATTCGTTTATAATATATAAATATGTATAGAAAAGACTAGCAACACGCATATTACGCATACACCTAAAATAAACAATTAGCAGGAAATATCAGGATAAACTTATGCTTAAATAATCACCATTAATTAGACTACACAATGAAAAGGATTGACATGATAACTATTAAGTTTTGTGCAACTTTTTGATGTTTCACGAGTGTTAACTTATTTTAACAGCGATTTTCTAAAGCAGAAAAAAGGAACGAGAAATCAACTGAGTGACATCATCGTCATCATCATCACCATCTCATGGATGCATATTTTCATTAATATCGAAAAGCATAAATATATAATTTATGAAAAGGAATAATAATAAGTGTAAATTATAAATGATAAAAGCAAGAACTTGTAAGTTAAACAACAATAATAATGTTTAAGAACTATTGGTGGCTTCTAACGACTCAGCATTTCACACTCTGAACTTAACGAGGTTGTGAAGCTACTACATCGATTGAAAGAGATGGTTAGAACATATGTTACGCATACCACTGTGTAATGCAATCGACTGCCTTCCTCGGTGACGAGCAATGTTAGCTGACTCACATCTCGTTACCTTCGCTTTCGTGATCCTGACGCTCATTACACATTTCGTCATAGTAACTTCTATGCTTTTTTCACTACCAGTTAAAAACAAAGAAGACAGTTGTGCTGAGTAAGCAACTGTCAATTTGTCACAAGATCTTCAGTGGATTGGATGAATTATAAGCCATAGTGTGATGTTATTACATGTCTGATTGTGAAGGAAGTGGAGAAAATACATAACGCCAATTATGGAATTTTACTCAAAATCCTGTAGCCAAGTAAAAGCTAGTAGAAATCCACCATTTTTATGTAGTTTTAATCTAAATGTGTGCGTCGGTGGCATAGCGGTTAGGACGCTCGCCAACCATGCACATAGTCCAGGGTTCGATCCCAGGCAGACGCACTACTTTACCTCGCTAAGCCAGAACTAAAGCTGGTGAAGAGGAAAGGTTGGGCATGAGGCTAGCAAACCCATCCTGTAAAACAAACACTGCTACAGAAACTTCAAGCCATTAGCTTGAAACCCTATGTTTTACTGGGGAACTTGAAGAAAAAAAATCTAAATGTACTGGTTAAAGGTGACCCATTTTTACCACAACTTTTCATAAAATGACGTTTCATCAGGGAAAGCGCCAGGCCATTTATGGTTAGCAAGTTTTTAATCAGAAATGTGTTTCCTAAACGCCCTGAGAAAATCTTAGTACTTTTGGCACTCACTTCTTGTCAGACAACAGAATGCTGCAGAACGTAAAAGTACTTCTAACCTAAATGGGTGGAGTGAAGTGATGAGATGCTTCTTCAAACCTGCATACCAAATGCCAACCAAGTAATCTCATATACTTTTCCAGCTGTAATTTTAAGATGATAACAGTAAGGTAATGTATATAGGGTCACCAAGATTTAGTCATAAACCGACTTCGTATATCTCTAATCACTACCTATGGGTGTACAGTAACAGAATTTGAACATTAGCCAGTTCCTGTATGAAGTTAAGGTTGCACACACATTCACCTATATTCTATGTTGAAAAATATAGGAAACTTTTCACCAGAGATTAAAACCATTATCAGTTTTCTTGAATATTGATTAAACTCATATATCATGGCAAGAAAATGCTTAGCACAAGATATATTCTTACCTAGCTTGAAGGAGAGAAGGTAACCAGGAATGGCTGTAACATGTTTACCACAGTCCCTGCAGTGACTGAGCAAGATATTACCCGGTTTTAAATCTCTGTGCATGAAACCTTTCCTGTTCATAGCGTCCATGGCTGAACCAATTTGTATCAGAAAGTGACGGATTGTATCTTCCGGTAAGGTGCGTTTGGCTGGATATCAATTTAAGTTTCTGAATAACTATCAATTACCTTGCAGATATTCAGAGAGATCACCACCATTACAATACTCCATCACCAAATATACTCCATTGCTAGATATCTGAGAAAGGAAATAGTTACCGAATGATGGAACATACGCTATGATCATAAAGTCGTACAATGTTTTCATGATTTAGGTCCTGTGGGGGTATATGAAAAAAATGAAATAAACTAACCTTCAGAACACATATTTCCTTGCTAAGAAGCGTCTTTGATTTTAAGACATTCTGGTCTTTCAACATAATTTTTATTGCAACAAGTTCATCTGGATTCTTTGCAAAAAATTATAACGTTAGTGTTACATCTTACGTTTCTAACTCTTCCTTTATACACAATGGCGAATGCCCCATTACCCAGAACATCTGCTGGATTATATTCGTAAGCTCCTAAGCTTATCATGGTTGAGACAAATGCAATACAGTTTTGTCACGAAGATAAAATATATTTAACTGCACAGAATTTCAGGAAGTCGGCTGAAGCCAATATTAGTGTCAACTTTCATTAAACAGTTCGTCTTTCACAGTTAATATGCGAAAAGCAAAGTACTAAATACTACATGTTATCAGTTAACAGCGCAGGTCACCATCTTTACCGAAAGTCAGCTGATGAACAAAACTTCCAAAACGAGCGCTATACTTCAATATCCAATTTTGTAGTGGTACATTGTTTCCAGTCTTCAGGCATTATGCATATTAATTGCCACAACAACAACACCAAAGATGTTCAACTTATTTTCAAAGAAATCCTTAGGATAGATAAGCCATAATGATTCGACCTAATGAACTCGGACTTTCTGTGAAAAATTCCAGGTTCAGATTCAGATAATAAGGATAGTAGGGTCTTGTTGCTTATGTTAATCCTTGCAGTTTATGCCTCTGCAGAGAGGCCAATTTCTCTTTGAAATTGTTCACCGATGATGCTGTCACTAATGCGAGAATCTGTATTCCACGCGTATTCTTTTCTTCCTGGGTTTGAGCCCCTTTTGTGACGACCTCGTAAATGTATCTCAAACGGAAAGAAAACAATGGAAGGTATGATAATGAGAAGAGATTTAAACGCTCCATACTATTTTCATAAGGAACGTGAGAGCTACGGCTAACTAATTTGCTTCATACCTTCAGTACTGTTTCCCAGATGTCTGCCTTCTCTTGAAACATGGACTCACTGCTTGTATACAGTATCCTAGATGAGACCTGACATATGTTTCGTAGAGTACTTGGAACACACAATCGTGTAATAGTTTGAAAGCCCTTCGAAGTGCCTGTAGCATCTGAAAAGCCTTAACTGTGGCTCCAATACCATTTGCCGTTGTTTCTAAGTCATTGCTTACAATAATTCCCAAGTCGTTTTCTCCCTCAATATCTGGCAGTTCTCTGTCTCCAAAGGAGTACGACGTGTAAGACATCTGACCTAAGTGCATTACCGCGCTTTTCCTGGAATTTATTTCCAGACTCCAAAGGTTCGACCATTCAGTTAATTTATCCAGATCGCTTTGTAATGCAAACTTTCACCGCTATCATTTAGTTTTCCATTTCTTAATATCGTCCGCATGTATTAGGGAAGATGAGGTGAGAATTTTCGGCGGTTCATTTACGTTAAATAGGAATATCAGGGGATCTAGTCCAGTTCCCTGGAGCAATCACTACTGCTCTTCACCCTGACAGTACCCAGTTAACCGTATCCTTTTGTCTCCTATCCATTCCCCACTCCCTAAACCACTCTCATAGGCGTTGGTCTAATCCAAAACACTTTAGCTTACTAAGAAGACCTAAATGGAATACTTTTTCGAATTTTTAATAAGACCAACTAAAGCAACTTTCAACGGAAGGTTCTTATCTCTGGCTCCAACCCAATCTTCCCTAGCTAATAGTTGGTTTTTCAGGCAGGTTCGTCTTGGTAGGAATCCATGTTGTTCCACTGCCAGTAAGCCATGTTTCTAAATTTTAGCTGAGAGCTGATCCCTTGCGATTGTTTCTAGTATTTTTGCTGTAATGCACGTCAGACTTCCGGGCTGGTATTTAGAAACCAACTCCTTGTTCCTTTCTTTGAGGATAGGGCTTAAAATTGCGTCGTTCCAGTCCCTGGGTAATCTAACCTTGTTCAGAGACATGTGGAAAATCTCCGTAAGCGGAGTGTATTTCAAATTCACCAAGCAGATTAACAATCTGGGGTGAAGTCCTTCAGGTTCAGGTGATTAGCCTTTTTCAGTTTAAACAGTAGTTTGAGAACCACTGAATCCTTTGCCACGGTCGAGGGCATTTTAGTGGCAGTGACCTCGCATACTTCTGGGTGGTACGATTAGGTGAAAAGACATCACATAAGTAGTCCTAGGGGTTTGGTTTCATCTGACTCGGCCGCCTCTCCAGTACTGCTTATGAGAGACGACATGCCACTACTAGTTTCAGCCCTACGCCTGATATAGTGTGCAGTCTTTTTCAATAATGTACACAACCTAGTGCTAACTGTCTTTCATACTCTATACGACTTTTGTCAACCATATACTTGCAAAGGTTTCGAATTTTGCGGTAGTACATCCGAAACTCCTCCCTCCATGTCACAGTAAATCGTTCCCGTAAGCTCTTCCGTTTTCTTAATAACCTGCTCATTTCATTACTGGTCCGAGATTGTTTGTGTGATAGTTTCCGATGCGTAGACGCAATCTAGTGTATTTCTAAACCCCATCCAAGCTTCCTTGACAGTCTTATATGTGTCAGCAGACCAGGCAGTTAGGGTTGTTTCATTTCCGATTGAAGGTGTATTCACTTTCCAAATGTTTGGACGGGCAGTTGTTGACCTATGTATGACAGCGTGAATCTTAAACGTAAAAGTGATTACTGCATGGTCACTACTGCCTAGAGGTGAAAGACACCTAATGTCACCGACATCTTCCTTCTGTGGCATTAGCACCATCACTGAGTAATTTTATTTGATAAAAGCACTAGCTGATATATTTGATTGCACACTAGTCAGTAACTAGTGTAATGTGTCTAGTCCTATCTTCGGTGCAGACTGAATTCTATCAGTCATGTTTGCAATGTGGCCACCATGCTAGGTGGCTCGCCATTACGGTGCACTATGAATTGTTGGTATTATTTGTTGAAGATTTTTATCAGTTAGTAACACTATGCCACCATGTGTTTCTATCCAACAAATATGCTCTGAGTCGGAATCGTTCTATACTACAATGTCAAGTTCTATTCCTGTTTCTGTACTTAAGCATGATATGAACCACGTGGATGAAAACTAACGCTCTTTAGTCTACTCTTCCATGAGTTCTAATCATATACCCAACATCATTTTTCTGAACTTGCTGTAAGGACTATTTTGCACCACTTACTGGAATAAAACTGATTTTATTTCTCAGTGAACTTTTCGGAAGAAACTAGTGCTAAGACAGGAGCTATTTCAACCTCACTTGCTCTCTGTTACCTAATTTGTGAAACCAATTCTGAGATATTTCCACGTCGAGTATTAGATGTCATAGCGACTGAGGTTACCAAATGAATTATCTTCTCTCACATCCTCCTGGCAAGTAATCTGTTTGACTGTGTAATAATCGAATGAGAATCTCTTGTCTTCATGCGTATGGTTCGTTCTCTGATGCCTGTAAATCGATCGGGTTTCAAGAACAAATAGGCTAATAATAAACGCATTAGTTTATCCGCAACTTATAGTAAAACTAGATTTGCTTATGAACTAACCATATGTCAAGACGCAACCGTGCATATGGAGTGGCCTTCAAGACTGTTTGAGCCATGACCCCTAAATACAAGTGAAATATATATTCATTAGACACACACCAGACTAAGGTACGTATTAATATTAGCTCCTTATGTTGCTAAACAGAACAGCGAGGTGATTGAAACCACTGAGTTATGTGCATATTTGAAGCTACGTCCTTTGAAAACACCATGACCGCTTTATTTGCTAACCGATCCTCAGGCACTCTACTCAAACGACGCAGTTCGACCTTATGCATACTGATACCCTCTCAAACTATAAGGCAAAGAAAATGGATGCATCTGGTGATATCATTTTAGGCGCGTATAATCAAACCCACTTAGAAACTGTCTGCAGAGACAGTAGAACCGACACCACTGATACGTTTAAGTTTAACTCAGGCATCGACATGCACAAACCAAATACTACATTTTATCTCAAACATACGGGCATGGAACCTATTAAATCTTCATTTAGCTGTAGGGGATCAAAGATGTTCGTCAACTCAACTGAAAATTAAACTTTTTACCGTCAACGGCGAATTTATTTATCCGTGCGGATTGAAACACATGGTGATGAGTATAGTTTTCAAGGGACAGGAGCGCGGCAGCTTCTTTAGGTTGTGTTTGTCTCCTTGTACACTGTTTTCAAATCATCATAAACAAATATATCTTTCAGCAGCCGTAAGTGTTATACTCTTCTTTTGTTAGTTGGGATGGTGTTAAGAGCAGCCTTACCACCAGGTTAAGTAGGCTAAGTTAAAGGTTCAGCAGGTAGTGTGGCTATGGATCAGGTCTAGCAGGATTGATAAACACACAACAATTGTGAGGGTGATATCTAGTCAGAACCAACTGGAAATGAGTTCAGAATCATCCAGGCTTCCTAACTACCTGGTTTCCTAGGGAGGAAATACATCGAGAGCTTTCTCTCTGGTCATGACAAAATCAAACATCTGTCAATTAGAACATCACCATCCAAATACCAATCCTATTTCCACTCCTAAAATACACCTGATTATGACTGCGATAAGCCGCAGCATAGGGTTCAGTGGCTCTTTTATAGGGCGTCTTTTAATTCACCATTTCCCTGAGGATCATTGAATGCTTATTACTCCAGACTATCCCCGCACTATTTCTTATCTAAACAACTTTGTAATACATAGTTGCAGTCGTAACAATGGTAAACAAGGCATAATTTCAACCTGACGTCTACGGGATCTAACTGCCTTCACCAGTTCATTTGACCAACAACTTCTTGGCCGACACAACAACTATGCACATAGACTGCCAAACTGTCTGTTTCCATGAGGAGGGAGAGGGATAACTCCACCAGTCACAGTGTCACGAACATTCTTCTGCTCCTCCAGAGTTAATCAGAATCCACCTCTACTCTGTGTTCATGGTGGTACGGTGGGTGTCCTTGCACGTTATCTTCGTCTGAACCACTGGCTTTCAAATAATCTTCTCTCACACTACAAGTTCGAGGCAAATCTTACAAAATTATCTGAGAACAATTCATGGCACCTCCTTTTCGTTTCGTCTGATCATCACCGGCTTCTTATCCCACGAAATAAACGAGCTAACGGTGCAATACTTAATAAGGAGGCCGCCTCTCATAATGACTGTTAAGGTGTGGTGTACCACATGGATCTGGGAAAATGGGATTTCTATTAATACCTACTACCTTCTCGGGGACGTGCCAACATCTCAAGAGAGAGGAGGATGTGCCGTTTTTATTAGGCTTCACAGTACTTTTATCCAAAATCTATCGCAAACAATTACCCAGTATAAACTATTGTAAGGCCATCTTAATCTACTTCCTATATCGTAGCTTACATCCGTCTTCCACTTATCAAACATGTTCGCCCATCCTACTTCATCAACTCACATGGCTGAA